GTTCTTCCAAGCGGGCCCCCGTGGCACACTGTGCAAACCACCGTCTTAGACAGACTCCCTGCAGGGATCAGGCTGGAACCAACCCCATCAGTTGGGCGAGCATTTGTGCTCATGTCTCAGGTAAGGCCTCAGCTCTCCATACTAACTGAAGGGAGCCACACCTGGGTAGGTAGCACTAGAGAGGCTGGCTAACCCTCAGATCTGTCTTCTGCACACACAGTTTCATCCTGGGACCCTCAGGTGATGGTAGAAAACTCGGCATTTCTGAGACAGGCAAGGGGGTTCTGCCCTTTCTGCTCAAGACGAAACCATCTTCCAGGTACCCCCTCCTGCACCTGCTCTGGGGAAAGGTGGTGCAAGTAATACCTCATTATGCTACTTTCTTGAATATAGACAAAATAACAATAGTAAGTATATTTAGTAAATACCACTTGTTGATTACCCCCCCACCAAGTCCTTCACATATATTAACTTGTTTAATTTTCACAACAACCTGGGAGGAATCTACTCTCTTTGTCACTCCTTTTACTGATGAGGACACTGACACACGGAGATAATAAGTTGTATGGTAGCCTGTGTCCGGAACCCATGCTTTAACCGGAGGGCTTTGGAGGTGATTCGGGATCATGGCCTCACCTCCACCCCTTTCCCAAGCTCCTCTGCTTTTTTACAGTTTGACATCTCTGACTCCTGCATATAATTTTGTCTGTAGAAAATATCTTGGAATAAACACATTTGAAAACTCTGCAGAAAGAGGGTCTGGCTGGAGGAGGGTAGATGGGAAGCCGTGCAGAGGATACAGTTCCAAGGCACCAGTGCAGATGTATTCAGTGCCCATGTGTGTATGTGTGTGTGTGTGCAGATGCACGTGTTCGTGTGTGTGCACGCATGTGCTGAGGGGCAGTCGAGAGAATAGCAGAGCCAGAGATCCCTGATGTCAGGAAGGCCACTGGTGCTCCTGACAGACCCTGGGAGAATGAGGAGTGGTGTAGGGGGAATATGAAGGGCTCTGTGAACAGGCCCTATTCAAAGGAGGCATGAGAAGCAGCTGTGAGGAGCACCAGGGTACCTGGGTGGGTGCCCAGGGAGTAATCCAGGCTCCCGTCTCCCACTGGGGAATAATTTGCATTGCACCATAGGCCAATGGTAAGCCCAGTGAGTTGGCAGGACTTGTCCCTGCCCCTGAGGTTTCTGTGGGGGATGGACCATGGCTGTCTTGGTGTTTCCAGGGACCTGGTGAAGCTCTGAGATCATGCAGCAAGGGTGCTCACTGGAGTCAGAGGTTTGCAACAATGCCCCATGTCTGGCCCTCCCCAGCTCTGTGACTTTGTGCAAACCGCCTGCCAGTGACCTTTTCCCTTCAGCTGTAAAATGAGATAAAAATCTCAGTTGTCTTCCTGGCTGCCCTGGGAGGACCAGCAAGACGTCTCTAATCAAAGTGGTTTTCCTCGGAAAGCACAGGGCCTTCCTCAGCAGCTGTCCCTTCTGGAGTGACCTGGAGGCCACTGTGGCCAGCAGGAGGACATGTGCTCTGGAGAAGACAGAGGCCTCCTGCCTGTCACCTGGGGCCTAGAGCTCACAGAACAGCCTGGAGAAAGGTCCCTGGGCCATGTCCAGGTCAGAGCCCTGGTTCCTCTGCTGTGCACTGCACTGGACAGTGGCTCCTGCGGGGCAGGGTAACCCCATGCTCAGCCAAGACTGATAGCACAGACCCTGGATTTCCACAGACGGCTAGAAGTGGGCTTCGGAGTCAGTAGGACTTGGCTTCAAATCCTGGCTCTGCCACTTTCTAGGGGTGTCCTCTTGGCAAATCTAGCTAAACGTGGTTCACATCTGTAAACTGAGATAATCATACCCATCACAGAGGATTCTCCTGAGAATTATATGAGACAATGCATCCAAAGCTCTTAGCAGACTGCCTGGCGTGTGGTAACCTGTCACAAATGACAGCCGCATTTACCTTACCGACAGGTGATGAAAGCTCCTCAAATGACTCATTGGATCCATAATCAGGGACTCTGATTCCACCTGCAAATCCCCAAATGCCCTATGTGCTGGGGGCACAGCATCCCTCTCACCTTCCCTCTGTCATCACCCTCCGTTCCAGCCCCAAAGGACTTAGAAAGGCAAGAGGACTCTGCCGGGGGCTCGCTGGGCGGGCACAATGGAGCCCCAGGGCAGTGTCGGCTGTGAGTTTCCACCCGGACCAGCGTCATGTTGAGGCAACTGATGGAATCAGTGCCAGGCGCCCAGTCCTGGTCCCAGCCTAGATCTGAGCATCATCAAAGGCACTGCTCTCCTCCCAACAACCTTCTCCCGTTTACCTCCCTTCTCTGCCTCCTCTGAGGGGTCTGGTGAGTCCCTGTGTGCCCATGTGCTTCTTCTAGGTTGAAGGCACAATGTCCCAGCCTGCTTGCTGCCTATTCATGAGGAGGAAGGCCCTGGGCTGGGAGTCGGGATGCCTGGATTCAAGTTACAGCTTGTCCCTGATTGGCCTGTGCAGCCTGCAGGGAAGTCATTTGTCCTCTCCCTCCAGGCCTCAGCATCTTCTTTTGGGCAGTGAGGGGCTGGACTGGATAATCTATATCCCTTCTGTTCTGACTTTTGGTGGTCCTGTGACACCAGGGAGCCTCACAGAAGAGCTGCTGCAGAGAATGTCTCTGTAGACCACTGAGGCCAGAGCCAAGTCCAGGATCCCCAGCGCCGCCTCTGCCTGCTGCAGTCCTTCTTTCTACTGAGAGGTTTGTCCATTTCCCGGCTTCCTGGCCTCAGGTCTCTTCAAGATGCTCTGAGGCACTGGAGAGGCCCAGAGTGAATCCTTCATGTTTGTGCCATTCCCTTAATTTCCCCTTGCTTCCAGCGCTGGGCGGAGAGTTGGGAGCACAGGGATGGTACAAATGTGCAGGGATTGGCAGAGTCCTCCAGTGCCCACTGGAGCATTGTAAGAGGACTTGAGCCCAGAGATCCAGGAGACACATGGAGTGGGGTCGCTCAGGCCTCCCCCGGGCTGTTGATTGCTGACCTGTCAGGAGCTCCACAAGGACGGGGCACCACCCAGGTTCTTTATATTTTATCTGAGATCCCAGAGCTCTGGGAAAGCGAGGGGATGATAGTGCCTTTCTTCATGTCAGTGTTTTGCTGGGGAGTCTCACTGCTGATTTCAGCAGTAATGGATCCATAAGCGGACTCCTACTTTTCCCAGCACCTTAAATTCAGGGTCCCTTAGATGCTACCACCTCATTCTTCCACTCCTACAGCCCACTCCCTCCTCCTCTGCCCACATATCCCACCCTGGGCCTTACAATTTCCACGACTTCCCCTCCCTCTCCTTAAACATTTATTCCCTCCTCTGGATTTCACCTGGACTGAAGGATTGTCAGATTCCTTCTGCTCCATCTCAGGGTTGCCTCTCACCTTCCCTTCAGACCCAGCCCTTACTCCATTCCCTGCCTATCCTGTCTCCTTTCATCCCTGTTCCCCAGAGTCTCAGACGTTGGAAAGCAAGCCAGGCGGCCACCACCCTTTCCTGCAGCCCCGGCCCTTACTCCATTCCCTGCGTATCCTGTCTCCCTTCATCCCTGTTCCCCAGAGTCTCAGACGTTGGAAAGCAAGCCAGGCAACTGGCGCTCTTTCCTGCAGCTTACTGGACACAGGAGCTGCGGAGCTGCTGAAGGACTTACTCAACCTATGTGACAAATACACCCAAGATTCAGATGCCGTGGTCAGATCTGGCTGTCCAACGTCATGCATTTCCCTACCTTCCTGTCGGCCTGTGAGAGCAGGGACCCAGCGGCTGGGTGGGAGTGGGGCAGGAGTGCACGGCACCCCTGGACCTCACTGGCCTGAGAACCAGCTCATGGAGAGGCACCGGCGTGGCAGGCTGGGGAGCACCTTGCACCTCCCCCAAGCCACTGCACCTCTACTCCTGACTGGAAGGGGTGTAGTAGACAGAGTCCAGGATGGGGTGAGAAGACCCGATTTCCTGCACAGCCCCTGCTGTTTACTTGTTTCATTGGTACAAATAGTTAAACACCAACTCAGGGAGCCTTAGTTACCTTAGATGTAAAAATGGGGACAATGTCACTTATTTCCTGGGGTTGTCATGAACACTTAAATGAGGTAACACATGTGCGATGCTTTGTAAGATGGGAAGAGGGACCGTGATGTTAACGAGTGTTATTAGACAGTCAGCAGGCTACGCGACTTGTGGGTCGGGAGAAGGTCTCCTGGCTTAAACTATCTCTCTTCTGTCTGCAAAAAAATTTCCCCCTTTAAATTCAACTCTGAGTTCATCTGCTCCTTCTGGAAGCTTCTTTTCATGTACCCCTCGGATCAGCAGTTAACAACACAGAATCATAATGCCAAGTGAAATGGGGCAGCCCTAAAACCCTGGAGAGTTTTTGATTCCCAATCACTATGACATCTAACTTCTCCATTAAACCATTAACACCCGCTGAACTCACTGGCACAAATAATGCAACAGACTGAATCACAGAGAGTGAGCTCCGACAAGGAAGGGATTCAGAATTGGTGTATTTTGATGGAATGATGAGGAGTGGAGGTAGTTTTGAGACTAGGGTCCAAAGCGTGTTGGCCCGGGCAGAATGAATATCGGACATTCCAAGGGGCGCAGGCAGACCTTGCCTCAGAATTTTGGGATCTCCTATGCATGCTCTCATTTGAGCCAAGAGTCACCAGTTAAAACATCAGGGTCAGGGCTCCCCATTGCATCCATTACGGCTGTCCCAACCCCACCCTTCTACAACCTCCACCTCACCCCCTACGTATTTCCCCTTAGCCTCTGCCATCTCCTTCTCACCCTCCCAGTCCAGCCCCAGGTTGTAATCTTCCTTTTGTTTGATATCTTCTCCCAACAGGAAAAGAAAGAGCCCCGATTTCTTAGAAAAGTTGTTCAAGGACAGGAATCATGATGAGAAGATCAATTTTTCCGAGTTTTTCTCCAGTGTTCCTGCAGTTGCTAAGGAATCATGCCATCAGTCCCATGGCCAGAAGTCCTGTTCTGAAGGTTATGGATGACCCAACCCCATCTCAGCCCAGCCCAGCCCGTGGGCTCTCCACCCAGGCCCTGGTTTAGCAGACACCAAGAGCCAGTAAACTGGTCTCCTGCTCTGGTTGCTAGGCTCTTTTCCTCTTTCTCTTTGGTCATACATATTGGCAACGCAGTGGATTCTTGATTAGCTGCTTTGTTCTTTCTTTCTTTTTTTTTCTTTTTTGAGACAAAGTCTTGTTCTGTTGCCCAGGCTGGAATGCAGTGGTATGATCTTGGCTCATTATAACCCCTGCCTCCTGGGTTCAGGTGATTCTCCTGCCTCAGCCTCTCAAGTAGCTGGGATTACAGGTGGTTGCGACCATGCCCAGCTAATTTTTGTATTTTTAGGAAAGACAATGTTTTGCTGTGTTGTCCAGGCTGGTCTCCAACTGATCTGCCTGGATCCTGACTTCAAGTGATGTGCCCACCTCGGTCCCCCAAAGAGCTGGGATTACAGACGTGAGCCCTATTTTGTTCTTTTTTATGTGGTTATCCCCATCTATCATAGGTTTGGACATACACACACAAACACACACAGTCACACAATTTTTGTGGTTACCTTTGAAATTTTAACTTGCAATACATACTAGACTAGAGCTAATCAATATCTCTACTCTCCTCCTAAACAATGTAAATAATTCATTTTAAATTCAGAGACTCCCCTTCCAGCTTATATGCTATTTTTTTCCAGCCTTTTAACTCTCCTTAAAAATTATGTCCCTTATTTTGGAATGATTATTATTATTTGAGACAGGGTCGGCTCTGTTGCTCAGGCTGGAGTGCAGCAGCAGGATCATGGCTCACTGCAGCCTCCACCTTCTTAGCTCAAGTAATCCTTTTGATTCAGCCTCTTATGTAACTGGGATTCCAGGCACGTGCCAACACGCCTGGTTAATTTTTTATTTTTTGTAGAGATGGAGGTCTCACTACGTTGCCCGGGTTAGTCTTGAGCTCCTGGGCTGAAGCGATCCTCCATCTTGGCCTCCCAAAGTGCTAGGATTAGAGGTGTGAGCCACTATGCAGGGCCAGGAATTATTATTTTTGATTTAACAAATATTTCGTTAGGATTACCCACTTGATCCACTGCCTCAGACTCCCAAAGTGCTGGGATGACAGGCGTGAGCCTCCGCACTCACCCAAGACTTTTTAAATGTACAACTTCACTCTCCATTTCTTCTTTTTCTCCTTTCATTTTGCTGTTGTTGTTGTAGAAATTGGGTCATTTGTCCTGTAGAATTTCCTGCAGTCTGGAGTTCCTAATTGTAACAGATTCCTCAGCCTCTCTCTTCCCTTGGTAACCTGGTAGATCTAGAGTCTTAAGCATATTCAGGTTTCAGGTTTTTTAAAGTAGATTGCTTCATATGTGGAGTTGTCTATCAAGAGTACATGTCTCAGTGTCTTTTTCTTATGTATCAGCTATGAATGATCATTGCCAACACTGGGTAAATCCAATTCTGCCTACACTTCTGCAGATAAACAAGTCTGGAGAAAAATGTGCTTACCTTGTTGACTGGTCACACTTCAAATTCATGACCACTAATCCAACTGCGCATTCAATACAAATAAGAGAGTATTTGCATATTTCAATTACCCCATCTACTCTCTTATCAGAATCAGTGGCCATACACTCTGCCTTCCCCCAACTACCATGAACTTTTTATGTTCCCAGCAAAGGTCCATCCGTCCTCTTTCACTACATCCCATCCCCCTTGCTTTTTTCAAACATCCGCTACAGAAATTCTCCCCTTTTTCTTATGCAACATCAGTTTTTCTGTTTTCTGGTCTTCTCATTCTATACAAATACACTGTTATTTGTCTGACCTTAAATAATAATTTTGACTTCATTCTCCTCTGTGATCTTCTCTATTCTCTGCTTCCATTTACAGCATTTTAAAAATTTTGTGGATGTATAATATTTGTACATACTTAAGGGGTTCATGTGTGATATTTTGTTACATGCACAGAATGTATAATGATCAAGTCATGGTATTTAGGACATCTATCACCTCAAGTATTTATCATTTTTATGTGGTGGGAACATTTGAAGTCCTCTCTTCTAGATCTTTTGAAATATACAATACACTCTGGTTAACTATAGTTGCCCTATTCTGCCATAAAACATTAGATCATATTCCTTCTATATAGCTAGGTGTTTCTACTCATTTAACCAATCTCCCTTCACCCCACCCATTCACCTTTCCCAGCCTCAGTAACCATCATTCTCCCTATACCTCCATGAGACGAACTTTTTTTTTTTTTTTTTTTTTTAGCTCCCACAGATGAGGGAGAACATGTGATATTTGTCTTTCTGTGCCTGGCTTATCATCTCTGGGTTTGTTTACGTTTTCTATTTTTATCTTCTCTTGTTTCCATTTCCTATTTTTATCTTCTCTCTTGGTGTACTTGTATTTTTTGAATGTTGAACATTAAGAATGAAAATTTTTTTATTTCAGGCTATGGATGATTTTCTCTCCCTCCAGAGAATTTTCTTTAGCTTCTGGAAAGGAATTAGAGTAGCAGATCATTTAAATCTGATCTGGGTTTATTGATTCAAAACTGAATTCTAGGATTTATATTTCTGATCCATATACTTATTCCCAGGAGTAGCAATTGAGGGTTTCTAACTGAAATCCTGGAATGTTTAGAAGGGTACCTCTACCTTGGAAATCCTCTGAGCTTTGATTTTTATCTCCTAAAGGCTCTTACTAGCTATTTAGGTTTTTAACAAAGATTTTCTGATGGGCTGTACCTCTTGTCCTGTACAACTTGTGAAAAGACACATGCCTAAAAGGGAGAAAATTCGAGTGATCAGCTCACCATTTGTTGCTTCTCTTTTATGTAAATTTTTGTCTTTTCAAGTTCTGGCTGTGTTGGAAGTCCTGAACACTAATTTCAATCTCACCAGTCCTGAATGACTATTAAAATTGCAAATAATCTTCCTTGTCTCTTAGAAGTTACTTTCTGTTTGGTTTGTTAACTTCTTTGTTCAAACTACTTAAGAATTAATTTCTCAGGAAGAGAAGCAGCTTTAATGTTGAGTACATTGATTGAGTCTTCTTTCTCTTGGATAACCAGAGCCTTCAAGTCCTGGTTACTTTGGTAGCTTTTTGATGCTTTGAGGCAGATAATTTTATGATTTTGTCCACATTTTCTATGTTTTATTGGGATAATTGGTCTATTTCTATGTTTTATTGGGATAATTCCATAACCAGAAGCAGACATATTGGCAGTAATGCTGAACTACAGGAACTCTTGGTACTGTTGATAAGAAAACAATAGTCAAGCCAAGAGCACATAGAATCTGTATCCCAGGTAGTCTACCTTTTGGAACACACATATATATACACATATATATACATATATACGTATATATATGTGTGTTCCAAAAATATTCACACAGATACATAAGGAAATATATATAATGATGTTCCTCATAGTATTGTTTGTGGTGGTAAGGAGTGGGAGGCAATATGAGGGTGGGGAAGGTATTCGTGGAGAAGTGGGTAGACAAATACTGTGGTAGCACATTATAAAGTAAATGCAACTCAGAGGTAATAATGCTAACTGTGCATAGAGCAATGTGGATATGAGTTGGGGTTCCACCGTAAAGTTATTTAAAGTTACATTGCTGGATTGTATGAAATAAAGGCTCTCATGCTCTTCTATACAATTCCCAAAGAAACTGATTGGTTCACATTAACTGCTTTAATTTAGATCGAAACATGGTTAAAGAATAATAAAAGATAAAAAATACTGAAATAGAAAAATAAACCAAGGAAACCAAAGGTCCTACTAGAAATTCAGTTTTAATATAAAATTGAAAATAATGGTAAATAAATGATGCTCCTAGTGAGAAGCATTAATTCTTTAATCCAATAATATTGAGGCCAAAGAAAGGAGAGCACTGAAACTTATCTGGTGCTGGTCATAACTCTTGTAAAATGCAAGTTACAAAAACAATAAGATATTATCTCACACTTAGTTATATATATATAATCTATGATGCATCAATCCCTTTCCTGGGCAAGAATACCAAAAAACTATCTCACAGATTTATAAGGGGACACGTGTGAATATGCTGTCATGGTGTGGTTATAGTGACAGGGTACTGGAAACAATCTGGTTGTTTATCAAACACATGGTCTTTTATGATTTTCTGCGCCTTTCACTTTGTTCCCTTTGCCCTCTTTTCTTCCTGGAAAGTTGAGATCACTCTTCAGGAGCCTACTCAAAAACCACCTGCATGTGGGGTAACATAAGAGATTCCTGTAGAGAAGGTTGAATAAATGTCAGTCAGAAGAAAGCAAAGAGAGACAGGAGTGACGTCACAGTGAATTCAGCACCACGGACAGCTCACGACACTCCAGCCCAGGCAACAGAGTGAGACTTCGTCTGAAAAAAAAAAGTTATTGGAATGTTTTGATATCAGAATTTCTTGGGACCGTCTGGATTTCCAGAATCTCTTTCACATCACGTGTCATGTGAGTGTGGGCATAGAGCTGTCAATTACTCTTTCTCTTTAGTACCAATATAATGTACAGTAGCTATTACTTATTCCAAATCAAGTCAATTCTTGCTCTAGTATGTGTTAGAACAAAGGTTGAATTCTGATCAATATGACACTAATACCTGTGCCCTTAGGCCTTGCTCTAAAATGTTCTCCTTCCAATGTGGAATGACACATTGCCCACACTCTATTTCTTGAAACTATTTTGAAGGCATATTGGGTGAAATCAAATCAATTTTCTATCTGGTGACTGGAGCTCTGGGATGTGGTTGTGGAGATGGCCTGGTCCCCTCTCCTCTTTATATCCATTTGCTTCTGTTCTATAAGCCACCTTGGTGAATTTGGAATGACAGTTCTCTTGACGACCTGCCATAGCAAATCAGCAATATCTCAGGATTTGGGATCTTAACTAGGAACTGCATGCTAGACATGGGGTCCCTGTCCTGTTATCACCTCTTGGGATGACATGGATGTATAAACAGAATATCCTAATAGATGTGATGAGTTCTGCATTGGCATAAGCATGGAGAGTGTGAAA